ACTCTGATGACACTTATTATTGTTATGAAAATGGTGGTTATTCGATGCATTCATAATAATAATAACAGAGAAGACAGAAATAAAGACAAATTAATTTGAATGATATTTTTTTGTCATTATAAAACTAATAATAACAACATGATTCTTGGTGAACCTATCCAGAGGATAACCAAGTTAATTTTGAGTTTAATTATACAAAGTTAATTAATTACAAGGTTAATTACAAGTTAATTTGAATCTCAGTTTAAAAAAAATCAATCGAACGTTCGTTCTACTAAGTTTACATTATTTTCATTAGTTATTTATTAATTAGTGGTGGCGATAGTGGTGGTAGTGGTAGTGGTAGTTAGTTAGTTATTATTATTATTATTATTATTATTATTATTATTATTATTATTATTATATACAATAAATTATTATCGATATTGAAGTGATACTTAATAGTAATAAATATTTTAAATTGTTCAATTCATAATTTTCAATAGAATCATTTGTGTTATTTAATGATGATGGTAATGGAGATGGGCTCGTTGATGTGGAGGGAGAAGAAGAAGATGAAGATGAAGACGAGGATGGAAAAGATTTAGGAGTCGGAGTTGGTAGTGGTGATATTGTTGGTGAGGGTTTTGTTGGTGGTGGAGTATAGTTTGTTGGATTATAAGTGTCCATTGAATTTGTTGTGCTATAATAAAAATAAAATTATCAATTAATCTCTGATTGATAATAATGATGATGATAATAATAATATGATAATAATGATGGTAACAACAACAACAATAATAAATGGATGAATGAATGAATATTTACTTTGGTATAACGGTAACTGTTACATCCGGCCCTGTTGATTTTTTTGTAGCTGTATCCGTGATTGTTTTTGTTATTACAACTTCTGATGAAATTTCCAATGTGAAAAGGCTTAGAATTACTATTAATACCATTGTCATTATATTTAGATTTTTTAGATTTATTATATTTATTGTTAGATTATATTTATTGCTACCGTTTCTATTTTTATAGTTTTTATTATCGCCGCTGTATTTGATCATCATTTTAATTGAGAGATTTTTGTCATTGAATTTTTAAAAATCAAAAAAGTTTAAAAAAGTTTCAAGTTAAAAATCGAAAAGTTTTTTTTATTTTTTTATTTATAATAATTTTTTTTGAAATCTAATGCTTTTTTAGTAAATCATATATTAAATATAAGGAAATGGGAACATGTTGCCACAATATATTTAAATCAATGCATTGCATATATAAAGTATGAATGAACATTTATGTCTGGAAATTTCAGGGATCATCACAATCGTACCACAAACAGTAATAATAGTAATAGTAATCTTTGGTCTTGGTTTCTATCTTGCCAAACTAGTTTCCTATAACCTGAAATTGGTAAATAAAAAAATTATTTTTAATGTAGTGACAAAAAGTTTTGATCCAAAAGGAAATAGAACAAAAAGTTTGATTACTTTTTTTTTTTTTTTAATGTCTGTTTTGGTTGCACAGTACGAATCATAGCCAACATTTACCTTTCTTTATACATACTAATCGTGTTGTTTGTGAAGCATCCTTTGCATCTATTAATGTTACAACCTGGTTGTTTACATTCCATCAGCTCTTCCAGTTTATGTTAGAATTGCCAGCAACTAAATTACTTGTCACAAATGTCTGAAAAAGCTCTATCATAATCAATACCTTTTGTTCCAACTGGCGTATAATGCCAATTGAAACTCTCGCTGATGGTGTAACAAGACAGAAGCAGCCTGGTTATACATCCAATGATGCTATTTGGCAAGGTGAAGAAAAAGTGGGAGAGGTCCATTTTAAGAATTGCCACAGTTAGCATATAACCATTCACATGAAAGTAATGTTACCTTCCATGTGATATAGATGAAAAACAAGAATAATTAATTTCTAGAATTTTACCTTCTCTTGCTTTGCCCCACTTCCATGAAATGTGCCCAGAAAGCAAATACCTGGAGCGTTGAATTTCTCATCGTTGACTATTCACCCAGGCTACCAATCGAAATTGAAAGTTTCGACAAAGCATCAATGAAATCAACCAACAATATATGTGTTGATGGATACCAAAAAACTATATAACAACTTTTAGCATATTGAACGATATTCAACTTTTGACTTTTCCATCATGCCCTTCTTCCAAGTAATATGCACGAGGAAAATTATTGATAGTAAACAAACAAAGGTTCCGGCAATTTTCTGATTTTTTTTTATTATTATTATAATAATAATAATTAACGTTATTGGGGTTACTATTGTGATGCCCCTGAAATTTCTTTGTGGAATAAAATAATACATAATAATAATAATAACAATAACTTTTGTCTTATTTCCATATTAAAAATTATCAATGTGAGAATTACTTATATATAATAATAATGATGCCATGGTTTTAAGGTAATAATGAATGATAAAGAAATAGAGATATATTTGTTACACGGTGAACCTAAAAAAAAAAGTTTTCTTTATTTATGATACATAAAAATAGATACAAAATCATAAAAATAAACAAAAATACAAAAATAAATATATATGTACAGTAAAAATATTCTTAAAAATATCCAAATAAAGCTTAATTAAATGGTCATTAATAATTAAAAATGTAATCTAAATTATAATCGAGATCATTGTTGTGGTTGTTGTTGTTGCTATTATTAATATTCACCAAAGAAATATCATTTGCACTAACAGAAGGAGGCAGATTAAAACTTTCTTTCCTGAAATCTTCTTTTTGGTAATCTTCTTCACCGCATAAAGTTGATGATAGAGATAAAGTAGATGACGAAGGTGTAGAGGAATAATAATAACTCGTTGGTGAGGAAGGTGGTGGTGAAGTAGAAGAAGAATATAATGATAAAGGTGAAATTTCATCTTCTTTCATTTTATTATTATTATTATTATTATTATTATTATTTAAAAAAGAATTTATTATTCCATTCAATGATGATATTAAAGATGAACTATTGGGTGATGATTGTAATTGCTTGTCGTCGTTGTTGTTGTTATTGAATTGTGCTAAATTGTGAGAATTTAAACTAAATATTTCTATGACATCTCTGAGTGTCATGTCAAGAAGACTTTCAATTGGTGGTGTATGTGTTGAAGGTGTAGTTGAATTTAAATTTGTTGGATTTTGTGGATGTAGTAGATTATTTTCGTTGTTGGCGTTAATTGGATCCTGGCTTATTGATAAATTCGATAAAGGAATCAATTGATCATAATTTATTGTATTGGCATTATCATTACTGTTGGTGGTGGTGGTGGTGGCAGCAATATTATTATCGCTGGCGGTGGCATAGAATTTATTATAAGTATTTTCAGCAAAGGCTATTTGATTGTTCATAACATCTGGTGATAAAGAAGATATGAAAATGTTGTTTTTGTTGTTGTTTTGATTGGGATTGACGAAATTGTTTTTTTTGATTTTTTTTCTTGGTTTTTGTTGTTTCTGTTTCTGCCGCTGAAGCCTTTCTTCTCCTTCTTGTTGATTTTTATCATTTGAATTTTTCTTACTGTTATCATCTTTATTATTATTATTATTATTATTATTGTCGTCTTCATTATCATTATTACCATTAGTTGAAGTTGAGGAAGATTGAGGAGGTTGAAAGTTAACAATGTTCCATTTATCTCTTCTTTTTCTTCTGCCCGATTTTGGATAAACCTCATTTCTCATTGTCAGAGCATCTTTTGCCAACCTTTTATATTCTGATTTAACAAACTCTGGTTCTTGTTCCCATGACTGGGAGGCCATTGATGAGACGACCGTCATTGGTAGGTAGTGGCCTTGTTGTCTGGCTGCTTCCACGTAAACTTTACGATAAATTATAAACGCATTTGGTGCCCTGGCAGGAATTCTTCCGTCAACCGATTTCTTTGAAATTAATCCCAACGTATCTACTATTGGTGGAAACGGAGGTTTAATTACTACTGACGATGATGTCGAAGGTGAAGATGGTGTCATTTTTTTGTCATCATAATCCGAAGAATTATATAGTTCGAATTCGTCAATACTATTGTTGTTGTTATTATTATTATTATTATTATCCATTATTTTATTTATTTATTTTTTTTTTTATTTTTTTTTTTTTAAGGATATTGAAGTTTATATAAAGGAAAAAATAGACTTCTAAAATTCGACAATATCTTTTGATTTATTATATAAATAGATAAAGTAAAAATAAATAAATAAATATATATATAAATAGATTGATAGTGATAAATAATAAGGTTCAAATTTTGTTGTTATTTTGCCATTTTGTGTGAGGAGATTACACAAACTGAATTGTTCACAAAGTTGTCCTCAAACCCAACGGCTAAACCAGATTTGAACGTTTTGACTTTGGAAATTAAAATGAAAGATGATTGATAAACAAACATAAAATCAAGCACTCATGTTATTTATTATTATTATCATTATTATTATTATTATTATTAATTATTATTATCATTATTATTATTATCATTATTAATTAACATTATGACCCCCAAAAAAATGCGTAATCAACAACCAACATTACACAGACATTGTTTCCTTTTTTTCCCTCTTTCGTATTAATATTATTATCATCTTTTGTATTTCTACATTAGTAGTAAACCTTCAATCTAATGGTTCTTACGAAAAGACATCAATTAATAAAAAAAAAAATTTTTTTTGACATTTATGCTGGTAATCGATGAAAGAACACTACATTTATTTGTTATTTTAAAAAAAATTTTTTTTTTTATTATTTTTAGAAACGTTTCCATCGTCGATAAATATTTTCTAGATTTATAACATTATTTTTTTTAAAAAAAAAAGTATTAAAAAAAACTTTATTTTAATTATATATATATGAATTAGTTTCTGCCTTAAATTTTCTAAATCAAGACAATAAAAATTCTTCCACTAATAAATAATATTATTATTGATGATATTCATAACTCGACAATTCCTCCTTTACTCGATGGACGGCAATGATGATGACGACCTATCATCATGATCAACTTTCTTCATGCTGGCTATGTTCTGTGTCATAGAAACTCATTACATCACTTTTTTTAAAATTAAATCCCTTAGTCAACAAATCCTTCCATTCCATCCATAAATTCTTTGAAGTGCCAAATATTATAAACATCAAAATGCCCAATGATGCAATGACACCTTCTGCCATTACATATGTATTAATGCTTGGTATGTTGGGAATTGAATATTGTGAACACACGTCTTGGCCATTTCCATCAACTATACAATCAAACCATTTCGATATCCATTCAGGTCTTTCATCAATCGGTGATTTCAACGCATCTAATTTCGACGCCTCAAGAACTATGAATAACTTTAAATAAAAATAATGATAATTTTTAAATTTTTTTTTTTTTTTTTTTTAAAATCCATTTGCTTGTTATTGTTACCTACCTGATAGAGTATAAAAGCTAAAAGATATATTACAGCCAACATTAAAACACGCCATTGCATCTTTAAAACTGTTAAAAGATCTTGAGCCCTCATCCTTTTGTTATTGGATGGTTTAAATGGAAATGTACTAGTGATAATTGCTCTTGAACTTATCCAATATAGCTATATATATATGTATGTATGTATGTATGTATGTATGTATATTATATAGGTAAATGCACATTAATACAATGATGATGATTATGATAATGATAATAATAATATTGATTTGTAAAAAGAATAAAACCTCGGCCATATGAACAATCGTCCAAATATGCATCATAAATCCAGGGATAATAAATAACATCAACGGATACCAAAAAAACCAACTTTTATAGCTAGAATTTACCATACAAGCAGGTCCAAATTCATAATCAATTTGTTTCGATATACCTGGCAATAATGTGAATATGACTGCTGTGGTGAAAATTTGTATTATAAAATAGTTGTAATATTTTTTTACAAAATTCGATTTCCAAACTGCTTGAAAATGCAATTGTAAAATCAATAGGAAACAAAACAGTACAAGTAAAAATGACGAGAAAATCAAAGTTAATCCTACACAATTTTTAGGTGCGTGTTTAAAAGAAGAAGAAAATTGCGTTGTTAATAAAGATTCTTTTTCTGTCTGCCAAACCCTTACCCTCCCCGAATCAATTAATTACCTTGCAATCCACAAAAAACAGGGTCATTAACAATGGTGGATCTAGTGACATCGTCATGACACATGGCATCCTTATTGCTTTTCGTATGAATCGAAATAATTCCAAGAAACACTAATAGGCTCGTATGAAAGAATAACACTGTTATTCCCGAGTGATCCCGTTTATTAGGCAACAGCAAATAGCTCAACACTATAAACAGTACACACGCGAACGAAATTATCCCTATGTAGCTCAAAACTGAATAAATATTATTGATTTGATTTGATTTGTAAAGATTATTGGCTATTGGACATGGCAGACAACATCCATTCGGTAAACATATTTTTCCAATATCTTCATATTCACTGCTGCCGTTGTAGTTATAATTTATATTTATGTCCAATATCATTGGAGGTGGACATCCTCCTGCAACGTGGTCACTTGAGCTATTGTTGTTGTAGGTCAATAACTCTTTGTTTTTTAATGATTCATCATCACTAGTAATAACTTTAGCTTCTAATTTACTACTACTAATTATAATGACGGTATCAATAATAATAAATAACGCTAATATAATGTATTTTGATTTCATTTGTAATTCTGGTTTATATTTTAAAAGCAAAAAGGATGAGAGAAAAGCGAGAGAGATCGTGGAAAATATATTATTTCAATAAAAATAATTTGTATTTTTTAAATAAAAAAGAAGTCATTACAATATGTATGATGAACGGGATAAAATTAAAAAATACTCTCATTCAATTAATTTCGATTTATTAATTATTTTAAAAGTTAATATTATTTAATATATAAAATATAAGAATATTTTAAATGAATGAATTCGTGTAACAATTATACCATATTAACTATTCACACGCAAAGCTATTGTAAATGGAGAAGATCATCTTAATAACCTTGGCTATTTAAGGAACAACCAATTGCTACTAAATTCGACGATCTAAATCCGTATGGTTATATGGTAATCCATAACGATCAATGTCCGAAGTTTCTTTTTAGCAACATGATCTGTAATCAAGGCTTTTCTAGACTAAAAATAGCTCACGTGACTTGATTTTATCTGGTCCTGATTTTGCGTGGAGCGCAACAAAATTTTCAATGTAGTATATAGTAGTACTTGAACTTTAATTCAAAATTTTTGTATCAAGAAAACTTGTTCCTTATATATATTAAAACTACAAAGCTTACAAGTTATCCAGTTAAACTTTAATATTTAACCTATCCAAATTTATTCTTATCATTGATTCTTATCATTATTCTTATCATTGTTGCTTTCAAATATTAGACGTAATATATTTTTAAAATTGTTTTCAAAAAATTTTCATTAGTTAGTGATTGGAATTTCCACTGTAACATTCTACACAGCATCTTTTAAGCCATCACAACGACAAATTTGGTTTTTTTTTCCTTCAAAAGAAACGTCATTTACATTTATTAATGTTGTGTGTAACTACATGTCAATAAAATTTGATGGTCGGTACAACTTCTAAAATAATTTATCGCATGTATTTTAATTGTTGCAATTTTTATTAATCTTGTTATTCATTTCATTTAATAGATTTAATAAAATGAATATCTTTACCAATTAAATTAATCATGACAAATATGCGTTAATTATTATAAATGGATTGATTATATGCTTAATTCTTCGGGGTTTCATATAGTAAAAATAAGTAGCAGAATTTAACGTTATCATTATTCATCGTTATTAAAACCATTATGGTTCTTAAAACAGAGTGATTATGAATGAATAAATGCAATGAATTATTAAAAAATAAAATCGTTTATTTTTACAAATTTACTTTGGTTGGATGTAATAGCTACGCAAAGACTCGGTTAATAAAGATCCTTGCCAAGTATTTTACTCTTTCTGTTGATTTCTCTCATGACACACACATCGTCATTCACTGTCAACAGGTTTTTCAAATATGTCATTGCAAATCTTTACTTCACACGTTTGCCATCTATGAAATAATGTATTCAGAAGAATATATTTCAACAGCGACCAAATATACACAGTTCGTTATAGCATATACATAGTCAGTTTCATTAACCACAGGGAATTTGTGCTGGAGATTTTTGGATTAACGTTTTTTGTTATTATAAAGTTATACATTATTAATGCCTAATTTTTTTTTAGACATATTTAGAAATTAAATTGACGATCGTTGAGAAAAATACAATCATTGTGATGAACAATGCAGGACAGAAAGACTTAAAAAACGTGATATACAATCTACATTAAACAATTCCCAGACAAATTAAATTAACTTCATTTTGTTGATAAAAAGCCCCTGCATTTGTAGAATAGTTACGTCCACCGAATGTCCATTATACTATGAAGAGTCGTATAATTTGATATAACTCGTATTTAGGGCCATTCTGATGTTCGAAATACTGTTTATAGTATATTCCCTATTAAATAGTTGGTTTGAAATACTATATTCATTAACGAAAGGTATATACAACGGTAGGGCAAATGATAATTGGCATCGGATGGAATACATATTTCTAAACTTTCTGGTAAATTCGACTGCGCCATCTACCCAAATATTAATGTTAATTTTTTGTGGATCGAATTTCAGACACTGTGATAAAATCAAGATGCTTTTCTAAAGTGAAAACATGAGATTTGTGTTTTTATACAAAGTTGGAATGCCAAGGATCAGAACAGTAATAGTAATAGCAAAGTAAATGAGATAAATTTTCTCTTTAATTTTTTATCTATGGGATGGACCTAAATCCAGTTTAAATCAGGATTAGTATTCTATATTAAAAAATAAACCGGATCGATCTAAACCTTATTATTGTTGTTGTTTTTTTTTGTTGTTATTATTATTGCGATAATAATTTTGTGATGGGCGTTTTGGACATGAAATCCTGATTTAAATTTCAAATTTCACATGTAAAATAATAAATATTGATTGACATCATTTATGAGTTGAACAAATCCTCTTTACTGGTTCTTTTTGATCGTTTTCGCCCTCATTTTTTTTTTTGTTTTTTTTAATAATGATTGTTCGTTTTGAAGACAAGTTAACATGTTTCTCGATAAATCTGAACCTTAAAAAGATTGAAAGGTTGCGATAAATAAATAAAAGATATTTACTTTGTTATAAACAAAAAAAATGATCGACTAAATTTTATACAGATCATTTTCTTTGAAAAAAAAAATTTTTAAATAAAAAAAAATAATTAAAATGGGAAAAATTTGGCAAGAGCTTTATTAAATGGTTATATAACTTCCAAAACTATGTATTATGTTGCGTTTATTTTTAACTGCTTTACAAGCCTACCTAAAAATAATCAATAACTTCAAATTGTAATCCGTATAAACTCTATAATTTTTTCATAATGATGAATTGTTTGAGTCTATCAACCTGTCACTCATCAGGAATCTTGTTATTAAAATTAATAAATATATAGTACATGTATCTTGAAATATATTAATAAATTTTTTGTGAAAAATTTAGTTTTATTTATTTTTACATATATTTTAAAATACATAGATAAATAATTCTTAATGCTATGAAAACTTTTCCCACGTGTATAAACATCGTGACCAATCTTTTGCCCCACCTTTTGATTTTAAATTTTTTTAAAATATTTATTTTTTTATTTTTATTTTTTTTATTTTTTTTATTTTTTTTCCTTATGTATAGTAAATTGTCGTTGTTATTCAATTGTTTTGTGTCTAGACCAGTCTTTAATGAACCAATTGTGTACTGATTTGTATTGGATTTGTTTAGTATCTTCAAGGTTGTTGTTGTTGTTGTTGTGATTATTGGTTCAATCCTTATTATGTTTGTGGTTTTTTTCATTTTTTCATTTTCCTTTTAATTTCCCCTTTCCTTCCATTCATCATAGAATTCTTAGTTTGATTGTACAATTAGTTGTGTGATAATTTTATTTGTTTTGTTTTTGAAGGTGTTTTTGATTTTTTTGTAATTGGTTGGTTCATGCTAAGTGAGAAAATTAGTTTCTTTAGATCAGTAATATATTATTAATAAATTAATTTGCAAATTTTTTGATATATATATATATATTACTTCTTTACCTACTTATTATTCACTCACTATTATATTATCATTTGTAAATAATTCTAATATGATTGGAACTATAAAAATAACGAATATGAATAAATTATTGAATTTGTTACATCATTTAATTCTGTAATACTTGACAAATCGATCTTTTACTTTTATTTCCTATTGCATTTTTAACATATTTATCTCAAATGACTCTGAATGATTTTCAGCAAGTGCAGCAAATAAGCAGGGTGCAATCGATCTTGACGTTCTATTCATTAAAGTTCAAAAAGAAGAAAAAGAAAAAAAAAACTTAAATTCAAACTTAAATTATGTAAATTTTAACAAATTAACAGATCATTGTAGAAATCTACCAATTAAAATCAATCTCAAATCAGAAAATAACTTGCCCAAGCAGGCTAATGCTATTTATCCACGCATATTCCATAACTTTCTTAATTGAAACATGTAGGTAAATACATGTGAATAGAATTTCAGTAACTTCTATACTTTTTAAAATTTGTGCAAAATTTAGGAGGTCTTTAGACCAAACCAACTATATTTGATTTTTCTTTCTAGGCTACTTTTTTGCTGAATTTGTTGGTTTTGTTCTTATCAGTTCAAAAACCAATGTTCCATCAAATATACCATCTGATGATATAACATATAATTCAATAACATCATTACCAGTTCAATCAAGTAATTTGAAGTCGTTTCCTTTAATTAACCAGATTTTCTTCCTACCACTGCACAAAACCCAATTGTACTGGTTACAATAATGCAACTCGCTTTCTGGACTTGAGTCCTATTTATGGTGTCACTGCTGAAGATGCAAATCATTTTCATGAGGAAATTAAAAACCAATGAAATGCATATGATCCTTATGCATTTAAGGATCTAACAATAGGAGATTACGTTACTAGATCTACCTCCAAACAATCAAATAATATCTATACAATGACTATTCAGGCTATTTGGTTATGTGGTTATGTGATGATGCACGGATTGATGATCAATATTTTGAAGAGGCTGTAGGTTTTATATTTAATAATATAATAATAATATAATAATAATTAATTTTTTAAAAATTTTTTTAATTAATCAGAAGAAATGGAACTTTGCATTTTATCAGAGTTGTTACAGAAGAATACGGTGTTATACTGGGTAAACCGCCACCAGGAATTGATATGTTTTTGCACCATAACATTCGGTTATGATCATAGTAAACCAAGTAATTTTTACCAAATCCAAGATGGATATGTTGATGCAGCCGTGTAATTATCATTACAAGATATTTTAGAAATGAGTTTACTAGAAAATTTTGGTATAGAAAACTTGTTAGGATCAATGTTTTTGCGACATCAAGGAGATGTTGATATATATTATTCTGATGCAACATTTGATATTTTTAAGATCTAGAGATAGAGGTATGAATTCATGTGTGTGTATATGCATATGCTTTCTTGTGTGTTTATATATATATATATATATGAGATAACGTACAAATTTTTTTAAAAAATTTTATTATTAATACATAGGAATTGCATTATATAACGATATTTGTCAAGCATATGGTTTAAAAATTTTTTTCATGGAAAAATAAGTTGTTCTTTGTCCCCCCACCAAAATCTCTAATATTCATAAATTTTAAAATGATAAAACAAGCAATGAAAAATAATAAATAAATGGTAAACCAAACAATAAAATAATTAGTAATAATATAATAATAAATATAAACATTAACCTTATTTATCGAGTGATCATACTAGTGCTCCTGTTTGATTGTGCCCATTAGGATACAGCATTCTTATATAATTTTGTATTTCTTCAACTGAGATTATATTTTTCCATG